GCAGCAAGCAAGCCTCCCTGCTCGCTTCAGTGCCTGGCTGCCGGCCGCCATCTTGGCTGACGGTTAATTTGCATATACTCACTGATTAGCCAATGAAAAGGGTAGCTGTCGTACGCCAATTACCATGTTTCTCTTTTATTGGTGTAGATTACTTAGGGTTAAATTATATCATTTTGATAATGAATCTTTCTAACCAAGAACTTTCTCTTTATTTGTATGCTTTATTTATGTCCTTTAGCAGTTTTTATTTTTTTAAATGTTTTCTTTATACAAGTCCTATATATTTTTTTGTTGGTCTGTTTCTGTATCTTGTTATTGTAAATAGAGTTCTTTTTTCTTATTCTTTTTTCTGGTTGATGTTTGTATATATGGAAGCTATTAGTCTCTTTATATATTTTTTTTACTCTTTCTCATTTAATTATCTTATTTTTGTAATTTCCAGTTGATTTCTTTATATTATCCAGGATTGTATTTTATAAATAGTGATACTTTTATATCGTTCTATCCATTATTTTTCTTTTAATTTCACTTGCTAGTTCTTACAATAAACATGCTTTTTCTTTTTTTTAATGAGTGGGAATGTTCCCCATGCTCCCTCATTTTATTAGAGTCTTGGTTTAAAAAAATATATTTTATTAGCTTAAGAAACTATTTTTCTATTCCTATTTTATTAACTTTTTGAAAATAAGAATGGTAGCCCTGGCCAGTGTCCCAATGGTTAGAGTGCCCCCTTGCACATGGAAGGGTCATGGGTTCGATTCCCCATCAAGGGCATGTAACTGGGTTGTTGGATTGATCCCTGTCCTGGTCTGGGCGCATGCAGTAGGCAACCAATATATCTCTCTCTTCCCTTTCCTCCCTCCCTTCCTTCCACTCTGTCTTAAAAAATAAAATAAAAGTAAGGATGATGGTTAATTCAGGTCAAATAAATATCTACCATCTATGCAGACAGTAATGACTTTTCTTCTTGAGCTAATGGTATGATGGTTGACCTTAATATATGTTGTTTCTAAATAAATCTATTTTACATTTTTGGTATGAATTCCACTAGGTCATGACATTTTAATTTTGAAATTTAATTGCTGGATTATGTTATTTTGTTTAGTGAAAGTAGTGTGTGTTTTTCTTTTTGAGAATTTTATGAAGATTTTCTATACTTGTTACGATACCTCATAAAATAAATAAACAAAACCCACAAATAAATACAAGAATTAACTAGTGTAACAGCAAGTATAAATGAATTATAAAAATATTAAAATAATAAATAAATCCAAATTTGGTTCTCTGAAAAAAAAGAAACAGCAACAAAAATGAAAACAATAAAACAAATAAACCCAGCTAATCTACTAAAAAAGGAAGAAAGTACAAATTTACATAATAAATTCTAAGATGGAAATAATACAGAAACAAAATAAATTAAATTTATTACAAGAGACAGTTTTGCTTTAATTATGTAAAATTTGAAAACATGAATGAAGGGAATAATTTTTAAAGAAGATAATAATTTACCTAAATTGATCCCCCAAATTAAGAGAATAA